GGTTGGGGCTGGGTCAGACCAAAGCCACCCTGGTGGGTGCATGCACCCAAGCTCTTTCCCAGGAGCATCAGCAGGGACCTGGAACCAGCAGTGGGACTGGAACCAGAACCCTCGCAGTATGCTGCAATGACAGGTGGTAGCTTAATTAGCTATGCCACAACATGGACCTCATTTTTTTTTTTTATAAATATATTTGAAAGAGAGAGTTAGAGAGAGAGGATGGGAAGAGACAGAGATTTTCCACCTACTGGTTCACTCTGCAGATGGTCATAACAGTCAGAACTGGGCCAGGATGCAGCCAGGAACCAGGAACTCCACTTGAATCTCCCGTGTGGGTGCAGGGATCCAAGCACCTGGGCCATCCTCCCCTGCTTTCCCAGGCCCACTAGCAGGGAGCTGGATCAAAGCATTCTGATATGGGACGCTGGGGTTGTAAGCAGCAGCTTAATCCCCCGTATCCTAGGCCAGCCCCTTCTTTTATAATTCTTCTGACAGCACAATTGTACTCTGGAGAACATATCCAAACAACTCCTCATCCGCCCCACCCCCACTTAAGATTTGTTTTTATCTGAAAGGCACAGTCAGAGAGAGAGAGAGAGACAGAGAGAGAGACAGAGAGAGAGCACCAGAACAGCAAGAGCTGGGACAATCTGAAGCCAAAATCTGGGAGCTTCCCCCAGGTCTCGCACATGGCGAGGCCCAAGCATTCGGGCCATCCTCTGCTGCTTTCCCAGGCCAACAGCAGGGCCCTGAATCAGAAATGAGGCAGCTGGAATTCCATATGGGAAGCTAGTGCCACAGGTGGAAGCTTAGCGCACGATGCCTCAGTGCCAGCTACGTTCAGGCCCCCATCGCCCTTCCCCTTCCAATACACCTTGTGTGAACTCGCTCACACCAGGGTCACCAGTGAGACAGCGAGAAGGGGAGCTGTCCTGTGTGTGTCAGTCACTGCAGGACACTCCTCAGGTGTCCCAACCTGAGAAAACCTACGTGAACGACAAGAAACATTCAAGCACAAAACAAAACCCAGCAACCATCTTCTAAACACTATCGATATTAACTCATTGAAAACATCCTCACAAGATTGTTATTTCCATTTGACAAGCCAGAAAACAGGTGTGAAAACAGCCAACGCACTTCCAGCAAGTTGGTGTGGCCACAGCGGCCTTGGCTGCGGAACCAATACGGGCCTCAGTTTTCTGTTGTTTTTAAAAATATTTATCTTTATTTATTTAAAGGGCAGAGACACAGAGAGAGAGAAGCAGATAAAGAACTTCCACATACTGGCTCATGCCCCAAATGCTCGCCACAGTCACGGCTGGACCAGGCAGTAGCCGGCAGTCTGGAACTTAACGTGGGTCTCCCACGTGCACAGAGGAGGCCCAAGGACCCAAGCCATGTCCTGTTGCCCACCAGGGTGTGCGTCAGCAGGAAACCAGAGCTGCAAGCGGTGCTGTGACTCCAGTCTCCGCACCCCGACGCGAGCAGTGCTTGTCTCCTGGCCTCGGCTCTCTCATCTGTAGAATGGAGAATACAACAGCCAACTCCAAAGGCTGCTGTGAGGTTTTGGTTATCACACACAAAGTACCGGGGGGTGGGGTGGCTGTGGGCACCCACAAACAAGCCCTGGGCCTCAGCTACATCCGTCCACTGCTTCCTTGCTGAACCAGCCATATTTTTCCGCACGCCCTGGCCCTTCCACGCGTGTTGTTTCTTTAAGTCTGCCACTGATTCACTCGGACATTTATGTTTATTAACGGGAAAGCCTTTAGAGCGCAAATTCTATCTTCAGTTCTTGAGGGCAGGGGGTGCTGACTCATCTGGTTGATGCTTAACCAGGATCATTACCTAAAATTAGTCATTTTAATGGCTGGAACTTAAATAAGAAAGTTCAAGGTGACTCTTAAAAATTCATCTGCTGCTCCTTTTCCAGATTATTTAAATGCTGACTTCTAAGAATAAAGACGGGATTAGAGAGCTTTCTGCTCCCCAACTCCGCAGGCTCCTCCCCTCCACCCACTCCATTCTCACTCTTCATCTACAATAACGCGGCCATAAACACAGGCCCCAGGGCAGCCAAAGTGGCCCCAAAAAAGACTGTATAAAATGGAAGGGGTTATTAGAGAGAGCTTGTTCTCCGTTCCAGCTCCCCCCAGCACCAGCAGAAGCTCACCCAGTACAGACCCAGTGAATTCCTGCCCCTTCTCCCCTCTGAAAAGGACAGAAAACATCAACTCTGAAGGAGGTTGGGAGGATCCCTGGAATTCTGAGGGCTGGACAAACCTGAGTGGCTTACTCAAGGGACAGTATAGTCAACTGTGGCACTCCTCTGGCTAGAGTGAGGGTCGGGGTCATGGGCTCCATCCTCTCAGCCACTGCCCAGGAAGACCCTGTCATCTCTGAGGAACACAACTGGTTGAAAGGTTCAGACAAGTAAATGAATCAGTGAATGGGCAAGAAGGGAAAGCTGTCCCTTTAGTGTAAAAGAAATGAAGTTGGAAAATCATTTTTAAGCATCGTGGTAAAAGACTGCTTTGAGCAAGAATCAACACTATGTGCCAAATCTAGGAAGCAAACTTTGGTATGAAACAGGATGCCAGGGGCTGCCACTGAGGCATGGCAGGTAAAGCCACTGTTTGCAATGGCCAGTGTTCCCCATGGACACTGGTTTATATCCCACCTGCTCTGCTTCTAATCCAGTTCCCTGCAAATGGCCTGGGTAAGCAACCCAGCAGATGAACCAAGTATTGGGGCTCCTCCCATCCCTATAGAAGACCTGGAAAAAGTTCCTGGCTCCTGGCTCTGGTCTGGCCCAGCCCTGGCTGTTGTGGCCATCCGGTAAGTAAACCAGCAGAAAAAAAATCTTTGTTTTTCTCTCGCTGTCTGTGATTCCAGTTTCAAATAAATAAATAAGTAAATAGGTTTTTGAAAAACATAAAAATAAAATAAGAAATGGGACATTTGTAAGATCTTCACACACATGAACTGCACAAAAGGTATGGGGGTGCAGGGGAAAGTGCTGGTGTGTGGGGTGCAGGGGGAGTGCAGTGTGGGGGGGGCAGGGGGAGTGCTGGTATGGGGGTACAGGGGGAGGTGGTGGGGGGTGCAGGGGGAGTGCTGGTGTGGGGGGGATGCAGGGGGAGTGCGGTGGGGGGTGCAGGGGGAGTGCTGTATGGGGGTGCAGGGGGAGTGTGGTGGGGGGTGCAGGGGGAGTGTGGTAGGGGGGTGCAGGGGGAGTGCTGGTGTGGGGGTGCAGGGGGAGTGTGGTGGGGGGTGCAGGGGGAGTGCTGGTGTGGGGGGTGCAGGGGGAGTGTGGTGGGGGGGTGCAGGGGGAGTGCTGGTGTGTGGGGTGCAGGGGGAGTATGGTGGGGGGTGCAGGGGGAGTGCTGGTGTGGGGGTGCAGGGGGAGTGCTGGTATGGGGGTGCAGGGGGAGTGCGGTGGGGGGGTGCAGGGGGAGTGCGGTGGGAGGGTGCAGTGGGAGTGCGGTGGAGGGGTGCAGGGGGAGTGTGGTGGGGGTGCAGGGGGAGTGCTGGTGTGGGGGTGCAGGGGGAGTGCGGTGGGGGGGTGCAGGGGGAGTGCTGGTGGGGGGGGGTGCAGGGGGAGTGCTGCTGTTAAGAGGTGACATGGCTCTGTAGACCTAAACATACGAGTGTCACGTGAGACAGGCAGGGTCCGACGGGCAGCGGGCACACAGCCCAGCGGTTCAGGTGTCTGGGTCCATGGCAGAGTGCCTGTGCTCGACCCCGGCTCTGGCTCCCGTCTCAATGCTCGGCTAACACAGACCCTGGCAGCAGCAGCGATGGCTCAACAGACTCGGTTCCGGGTCCCTGGCTCTGGCCCAGCTGCTGCAGGTATACGGGGAGTAAACCAGCAGCAGACGGGAGCTCTCTGTGTGTCCATCTCTATGCCCCTCAAACAACCAAAAAGTAAAATTAGGAAAAACAAAAATAAGAGTGGGGGGATGCAATGGCTCAACTGGCTGATCTTCCACCTGACAGCACCAGCATCCCATACAGATTCCAGTTTGTGTCTAGCTGTTCTACTTCTGATCCAGCTCCCTGTTTACGGCCAGAGAAACGCAGCGGAGGATGGCTCAAGCCTTTGGGACCCTGTACCCACATGGGAGACCTGGAAGAGGTTCCTGGCTTCTGGCTCCGGTTCGGCTCAGTTCTGGCCATTGAGGCCATTTGAGGTTAGAAGATCCTTCTGTCTTTTCTCTGCAAATCTGCCTTTTCAATAAAAAAATCTTCAAACAAAAACAAGAGGCACAGCAACTAAACCCAACATATGACCTGTGAGCATGTCAGGTACCCAGGGGAAAGGTGCCATTGAGGACACAACTGGGACAGCTGGCACTGGAATATGGATTGTAGTCTGGGGCAGACACTGGATCAGTGCTGATTCCCTGAACCTGACAGCCACCCGACGGGTTCTGACACGATGGTCTTCTCAGGAAAGCAACCTGAGAAAGATGGTTCGAAAACAAGGGACCTGGCACCTGTGACCTACACTCAAACTGCTCAGAAACCAACGATACTGTGTGTTTGCAGACAGAGCAATGGTTCTATCCTGGGGGTGCACCAGCATCCCTCCAGAGCTCATCAAAAATACCAACTGCTGGGCTTCACGCCCAAACCACTGGGTCGGCTGTCTGGAGGCAGGGCCCAGCAGTCTGAGTTTTAATCCAACCTTCAGGTCACCGGATGCAAGCCAAAGAGCCAGAACTATTGACACACACACAGAGTGAGAACAACTGGGCTGAAATGTTCAAACCGGTCCATCTGGGGAAAGGTTTGCAGGAGTTTTCTGTATGAAATTGAGTTTGAAACTACTGTGAAATAAAAATGAACAACAGCAACAGTAGAAACGGCCTGGGATGGTGTGTGGGGAGCTGAGGGGAGAGCTTGGGTGCAGGGAGGCTCTTGGGGAGCTTTGAGCGGGACGGCTGGGTGAGGGGCAGTGTCACCATCACAGGGCAGAGTGGGTCGCCATTGCTCACCTGAGTAGGAGAGCCCCGCAATCTCGATGAAGAGTTCCTCCTCGGAGAAGCTCTCGGGCAGCACAAGGAAGGCAGCCGTGAGCGCGCTCCGCAGGTTCCTGTCCAGAGCCGCTCGCAGGGCGCTGTTCTCGCTCATGGCCACAATTTTCACCTGAGAACCAGAGCCTCTGTTAGTTTTGGGAAGTGGAGGATTGCTCAAGCTTTGAGTCACATACCCGCTGAGCCCATCACAAACTCTTCCACTGGAGACCAGGGTTCCACTAGCACAGACGACACAAATGACCATTACTCTAATAAGCACCCCCAGAATCTCCTGTCAAATTCAGAAAATCATGATGCCAGAAAGATTCAAAATGTCAAATAAAATTGCTTTTAAATTAAAAAAAATAAGCATCCTTTGGGAAAGTTAATATTCTCAAAGTTTACAATCTCATTGACTTTCACTTTATTTTCTAGTAGACTTGAAGGCATTTTACTTCTCCTTTTTTAAAAGATTAATTTATTTTTATTGGAAATCTGACTTGTAGAGAGAAGGAGATAGAAAGATCCTCAGTCTGCTGGTTTACTCCCCAGATGGCCTCAATGGCCAGAGGTGAGCAGATCTGGAGCCAGAAGCTTCTTCCGTGTCTCCCACGCGGGTGCAGGGTCCCAAGGCTTTGGGCCATCCTCTGCTGCTTTCCCAGGCCGCAGGCAGGGAGCTGGATGGGAAACAGAGCAGCTGGGACACGAACCAGCGCCCACACGGGAGGGATCCCAGCGCTTACAAGGTGGAGGATTAACCAATCGAGCCATCACGCCAGGCTCAAGGCATTTTACCTTCTGACTCATCTGACTTCTTGCCCACACATAAGCTTGATGAAGCAAATAAGGCAAAGGGAAATAGTTACAACAGGAAAAGCACACATCTTAGAGAGAGCTCTGGGTTATGAGTGCCAGCAAGTGACGCCATTTCTCAGAACTGAAGTCCTTATCTATAAAGCGGGGACAATAAACTTCAACCACGAGAGAGAACTGCTACAAAGACAGACTACCGTAACTAATGCAAAGCTCCAGGCAGCCTTGACCACACAGAGCGCAGCCATCACGGGGTTCCTGATGCTCCCCAGACCCAGGAGGGGCAGAGGGCTCCAGGCTGTGCCAGGGTTCCCTGTCGGGGAATATGTCCAAGCCCCAGCTGCACCTCTTTCCTGGTCCTGTGACCATGGGCATAGACAGCTGACTGACAGGCCTGAGCTCAGAAGCCCGCTGGGAAGATGCAGTGAGGCTGAAGGGGGCCTCCTGGTGTGTGCCTCCTGGGACCCAGGGCAAGGTTCTCCCTGGGCCAGAGGTTTTCACCACCACCTGCTCTTAGCAGCACCTGGGGTGCATGTGAAGGCACACGCTATGTGGCCCAGTCCCCAGAGTTCGGGATTCAGTGGGCTCAAGTGAGTGAGTGCACAAGTTCCCACGTGACTCGGACCCTGAGTCCCTGGGACACATCCAGAGGGCGCCTGCAGTATAACGCCCCCCACCCCTAAAACGCACGGACGTGAGCCTCTCTGCACGGGGGTCTTGGCTGCCCACACTCCCACCACAACTGGGCTGCTCCCGTGGATGTTCTACACGAGCAAAAGGGGTGACAAGTCCTCGCAGGGATCCCCACGCAGCAGTGTACCCACCACCTTCAAACGCTGTGCCGCTGCCAGCGAATCTGACAGTACAGGTGACAGGCAGGGCTTGCTTGGCATTTGTCAAACACAAATAATTTGACAGATATTAAGAAGGCACATAAAAGAGACGCTACAAGAAACTCCCACATCAAGTATCATGGGAAAGCTAGAAAATAGAACAATATATATTCCACAGCTTTTTTTTTTTTCATTTTTCAACCACAGAAAGCAGTATTATAAAACCTAGAGTGATTTTATATATCAAGCTTAAGAACCTGAATTCCACCTTTTCCTTTTTCCTGACACTTTTTTTAGGGGAATATTTCTTCTTATTATTGTTTTAAATGTTTATTTTTTTATCGGAAAGTCAGATTTACAGGGAGGAAAGACAGAAAGATCTTCCCTCTGCTGGTTTATTCAACATGTGGCTACAATGGCTGGAGTTGAGCTGATCCAAAGCCAGGCACTTCTTCCGGGTCTCCCACGCAGGTGCAGAGTCCCAAGGCTTTGGGCCGTCCTCGACTGCTTTGCCAGGCCACAAGCAGGAAGCTGGATGGGAAGTGGAGCAACTGGGACATGACCAATGCCCATAATAGGATCCCAGTGTTACAAGGAGAGGATTTAGGCACTAGGCTATTGTGCTGGACCCCTCTAGGGGACTATTTCTAACATACAAACCTCAACATCTCAGTTAATTAGATGTTTCAACACTAACTTTAATTAAACCTTTAGCCCTTGGCTGAGTTTGGCACCAGCACCACCATCTGCAGAGAGCAAAGCAAGGGACAGAACAGGAAGGCGGTTTCCCTCGGGCTGCACCTTGACAGGGGACAGACATCAGGGCGATACCCCACCCCACTAGGCACGTTCTCAACTTTCTAAATAACTTTTATGCATTCACTTAAGCATTTATCTTGAATGACTGACCGCCAGAACAAATCTTCAGGTACCGTAAGTCATGTCTTTATTCCTTGAATAACTTTCCCAAACGCTGTATTCCACACGGTATCATGGCTTCAACAGGGCAGGCTCTTCATCTCAAAAATGGGAACACAGCGCTTAGAGGGTGCGGAGACTTCTCCACCACACGCAGCCGCCACCAGCACCCCGATGTTTCCAGGGCTGTTTCCACAACCCTGGAGCCCCTACTATTTCCACAGACCCGTTCTGATCACAGGCTCTTAGCAATTCCAGCCCCCCGCCCCCCGTGCTTCTTGGGCGGTTTTTACAGAAACTCACCGACATTTTAAAGTTATTTGAGGATGCTATTAGATTCACAGATGGAAAGAGTTAAGTTTGGGGAAGTTCTCCTGGTTAACAAAATGCCACTTGTTGTCCAAGCAAGCTGCCCTGCCTAGCCTGTAAGGAAGCAGCCTGCCGTTGAAGACTGAGACAGTGAAAAAAAACCCCGCATCCTTACTCAAAGGAAAAACGGCAGAGCAGGAGGCTCGGCCACTGCGCTGAGCGGCTTCTTCAGCGACAGGTGGACTAGGAACTGGTCTCAGCGGCATTGCTATTTGTTGTTCACAATGAAAAGCCAGTGAGCTCTTGGGGCATTGCCAGGGAGGCCTGGGAAAAGAAGAAAAAGTCCTCAGATTGGTGAATAGCTGTTTGTATCTTCCTGGGAATGCCCGACCTGAACTGCATAGATAACAAGGGCACCAGCGCCTGCCAGAGTCTCCCCTGGAGGGGGCGGGCGGCCCCTGAAAGAAGTTTCAGAGGAGAGATGTGGAATCACCTTTCAAGACAGAAGCGGGGCTCCTCCTCTCTAACACAGTTGCGGGGAAGACCGCTGCCACTGCGGAGGGTCAGACGCAGAGAGCGGAGCTTGACCGAGGGTCCCAGCCATGACCGTGTCACCTCCCGCCACCAGAAGGGCGGCCAGTCCTCAGCAGCAGCGGACATCAGGGCCGGAGCACGCCTTGTGAAGTCTCCCAAGCCATGTGCTTTGCTGTGGAGCTGAGCTGCCTCTGCACCGCAACAGAGATGACTCACTCTTTGTATTTCAAAAGCCTGAAGCCCAAGCCTGCCCACAGCCGCAGCTGGCCACGAGCTTCCCAATTCCCAGCTCAGGGATTCCCCCTCCCAATTTACAAGCAGTAAATCAGCGAAGCCATGATACAGTGATGGCTGTACAAGCCCGTGAGTATGCTAAAAGTCACGGAAGCATACACTTTACATGCCCGAACTGTACAATGTGTGAGGTATACCTCAAAGGCGCCACGTAAATGCCCTAAGGTGGTAAATACACACCCACATGTTAATGCTTTAGAAATTTAAGAGAAATTATCAATAAGTGGCATCTTCAAATAGTTTGTGGAAAAAAGAACTGAGGGGCCAGCATTGTGCTGTTACTGGGCTGTGCCTCAATGGGATTCCCATATGGGCACCAAGTTGAGTCATAATTGCTCCACTTCCAAACCAATTTCCTCTTAATAGTCTGGGAAAGCAGTAGAGGATGGCCATATGGGTGCTGGTGCCCTTGTACCCGCATGGGAGACCCTGAGGAAGCCCCTGGCTTTGACTTGGCCCAACCTTAACTGAATGCTCACACTCAGCTTTTGGTACAAAGACACAATCTCTTTTCATCCCGTAGCTCAGCAGGTTTGGTTGATATCTGCCGCCCCCTAGCGGTAATGTGAGTTATTAAAGATGGCTGAGAAGTCTAAGGGTGGGAAGCTGGCCAAAGGAGTGGGAGGGAGAGCTAGTTTGTCCATTTGTCAGATATTTTTGTTTCTACAATTTCTATATTTAGCACCTTGCAATGACTTTTAACAGAGTCTAATTTTCTTGCGCTGGAAGCTTAGTAAGCCTACAGGGCACTTGTCCTGAGTGACATTTTTTTTTCTCCAAGTAGGATGAGAATCGCGTTTTTATACAATAGCTGCTTCTCCTTGCTTGAATCACTGCTTCTGTTAAGGACAGTCGACACGCAGGTCAAATCTGAGGCCATACTCCACGGTGGCATTTATTAGATGCCCTGGCATTTCCGTTTTCTACAGCTTTTTCCTCCCTAAGTTTTGAAGTATTTCAAACCTGCGGCACTGACAGTAACACAGCATTTGCACGCCCCACCTCCTCTGGTCTCGGCAGGCAGCCAGGGCGGCAGGGACAGCTCCCCTTCCGGGCGCGTGCTAGAGTACCAGCCACGTCAGAGCCGAGGGCACTGCCCCGGACGCAGGCATGGCGGCGGTGTCGGGACGCTCGGAGCGCCGGCCGGCATTTCAGGCTCCGAGCCCTGTTCGGCCAGGTTCTAGAACACTCTTCCCACCCAGCCCTGGGATCACTACCCTGCTTCTGATTTCCAGCGCCTGTGGCAACGGCAGGCTAAGAACTGTCGTTATCCCCATCCCGCAGGGCGAGGAAGGCTGACAGACAAAGCAAGCCGCCTCCGTTAAACTGCCTCTAAGCTTCACGAATGAATTTGACTCAAAGTCTGAATTTTCACATTCACATCTCTTCCCATCAAGTTACTTATTTTAATAAAAAAATAAGAATCCAACTTGTACATAAAAAAATACATATATATATATAATCTCGATAGCATTTGTTTGCTTGTTTGCTCGATTATGAAGTTTATGAGTTGTCTAGCTTAGAACTTGGTAATTTAATTATTTCAATAAACCTAATGTTTCTGGACTTGTAAGAAATGTTTTTCCCTGGGCCCGGTGCAATAGCGTGTGGTTAAAGCCTTCTACGAGGGCCAGTCCGCCTGGACTGCCTCACTGCCCTCAGTGAATGTAGTGGTCACATCACGTGCCCCTTGGACAGACCTGCACGGCCTTGGGGATGTGCGTGCACGCCAGACCGGCGCTGTGGCTGCCCTGGGAGCGAGGCTGCTGCGGTCCTGAATCCCCGCGGTTTCCCTGCATCAGCATCCATGTGCATGCTCCAGGATCCCATATGGTTGCCGGTTCTAATCCCGGTGGCCCCACTTCCCATCCACCTCCCTGCTTGTGGCCTGGGAAAGCAGTGGAGGATGGCCCAAAGCCTTAGAACCCTGCACCCATGTGGGAGACCTGGAGGAGGCTCCTGGCTCCTGGCTTTGGATCAGCTTGGCTCCAGCCGCTGCGGTCACTTGGGGAGTAAGTTATTGGACGTTGGATCTTTTTCTCTCTCCTCCTCTGGGTATATCTGACTTTGTAATAAAAATAAATAAATCTTTAAAAAAGAAATGTTTTTCCCTGAGGCAGGCTCTGTGGTGCAGCAGGCTAAGCTGCCGCTGGGGACCATCACCTATCAGAATGCCTGGCAGGAATCCTGGCTGCATCGTGCTTTGAATGCAGCTTCCTGCTAACACGCCTGGGAGGCAGCAGGCAACAGCCTGGGTATGCAGGTTCCTGCCATCCATGTGGAGAAACAGCCCTTTAGCCAGGCCTGGCCTTGGCTACTGCAAGAATCTGTGACCTGGGAAAGCAGCTGAGGACGGCCCAAAGCCTTGGGATCCTGCACCTGTGTGGGAGACCAGGAAGTGCCTGGCTTCGGATTGGCTCAGCTCTAGCTGTTATGGCCTCTTGGGGAATGGATCAGCAAAGGGAAGATCTTTCTGTCTGTCCCTCCTTCTCTCTATAAATCTGCCTGCCTTCCAGGAAAAATAAATAAATCTTAAAGAAGAATGCCTTTCCTGGAGCAGGTGGCTGACTCAGCGGCTCTGTGTCTCTTAGAGTGGTTGGACCTCAGCTCCTTCGCTGCGGGTGACATGCTGGCAGAGCACCCCGGGAGGCCGCGGGTGACATGCCGGGAGAGCACCCCGGGAGGCCGCGGGTGACACTGCCGGGAGAGCACCCCGGGAGGCCGCGGGTGACATGCCGGGAGAGCACCCCGGGAGGCCGCGGGTGACATGCCGGCAGAGCACCCCGGGAGGCCGCGGGTGACATGCCGGCAGAGCACCCCGGGAGGCCGCGGGTGACACTGCCAGGAGAGCACCCCGGGAGGCCGCGGGTGACATGCCGGGAGAGCACCCCGGGAGGCCGCGGGTGACACTGCCGGGAGAGCACCCCGGGAGGCCGCGGGTGACATGCCGGGAGAGCACCCCGGGAGGCCGCGGGTCACGCTGGCTGGAGTCCTTAGAGCCCTGCCTCGGGGAGAGGACCGGCACTGAGGTTTAGGTTTAGGCTTCAGGCTTTGGCCCGGCAGGCCTGGCTGCCACGACACTTCGGGAGTAACCAGTGGATGGACACCCCCTCAGCCTGTCTCACTCCCTCTGTCTGTGCTTTTCAAATAAATAATACAAATAATTACACAAAACAAAAGAAAAGCCAACCATTAGGATGAGTCTCGTTGCTTTCTGAGGCTCTCACGCACCGGTTTCTGGAGCCTTCCAGCAATGTATAAGTTGTTCCAGTTGAGGAGATCCTCGATCAGAACGCTCGTGCTAATTACCCCGTATTTGATAAGCTGGAAAAGAAAAAAGAACAGGTGTGAAGACCAACAGGACCACATGGATGCTGATGCAGGGAAACCACGGGGATTCAGGACAGCAGCAGCCTCGCTCCCAGGGCAGCCACAGCGCCGGCCTGGCGTGCACGCACATCCCCAAGCCCGTGCAGGTCTGTCCAAGGGGCACGTGACGTGACCACTACGTTCACTGAGGGCAGTGAGGCAGTCCAGGCGGACTGGCCCTCGGACACCACCCACGGCTGCTCTATGATGGGCGGTGGCATCACCGAGCCAGACCGAGCCTCAGCGTGGCGGTCTGCTCTCCCCAAGTCTGTTTCATTAAGCAGGGATAGGAAATGTTCTGGAGTTAAAAGTTTCCACTGGCATTCTTTTCATAGTAAATGCCTTGTGCTACCGACCATTTCAAAAACTTTTATAATTACAAAGCAGCATCCAAAACCCAAACTGCCTTATCCCCGCTAACCCGCGGAACTATGGGCAAGCCTGTTTCGGCAATAATTTGAGCCTTGAATGCGGAATTCTCAGGTTACAGAGCCCCATCTGAGTCAACAAATCCCTTCACTCAGCTGAACTTCAGAAACCCAACCAGCGTTCTCAGGCTGCAAGGATCCAACAGCGGTCAGAGAAATTCAAGGAAAGCAGCACAGCCCCGTGGGCATGTAATTATGCCCACACATTCGGTTACCGAGCTTGTAATATTGCCTGAAAACTACTAATTAGCAAAAGGCTCACCTAATAGTAATTATGGAGAAAGAACAAAGCCATGTGTTTCATGCAACTCCAGGAGGGGCATGGCTGTGCTCAGCGCTGTCCGGGACCTCAGCTCAGTCCTGTACAAAACTGCCCACTGCAGGAGCCAAAGCAAACACTCCCGGCCTGGAGGCAGAGACCGCCCCCAGCCCATTTCTCCATTTGAATGTCAATGCCCTCCGAGGCAAAAATGCAGCTGCAGCAAGCTAGCACCTCAGACAGAAACACAAAATCTGGGTCTGGAGCAGTAGCCTAGCAGCTAAAGTTCTCACCTTGAATGCACTGGGATCCCATATAGGTGCTGGTTCTAATCCCAGTGGCCCCACTTCCCATCCAGCTCCCTGCTTGTGGCTTGGGAAAGCAGTCAAGGATGGCCCAAAGCCTTGGGAGACCTGGAAGAGGCTTTTGGCTCCTGGCTTCCGATTGGCTCAGTTCCAGCCGTAGCAGCTGCTTGGAGAGTGGATCAACGAACAGAAGATCTTCCTCTCTGTCTCTTCTCTTCTCTGTATATCTGACTTTCCAATTCAAAAAATCTTAAAAAAAAAAAAAAAGAAAAAAAAGAAAAGCAAAACCTCGGGTCCAAGGCACGCACACTGCACCAGTGCAAGCATTCACCCCTCAGCCAGGTTCAGACAGGTCCTCGGCTCCTTCCCCAGTTACTAATCCAACCTCCTCCTGCCCTGTAACATGTGGCCCCCTGACCAGCAGCATCAGCCAGGGAGCGAAGGCAACGATGCCATGTGCAGCACTGGCAGAGCCCCAGGAGCCTCGCATGCCTGCCCTAGGCACAGGTGAGACCCATCTGCCTACCTGGCGTGATGCCCTCAGTGGTCCCACAGGGACCCTGCCTTGTGCCTGGCATCGCTCTTAGAACTTGGGGTGCTTCATGTACAAGACAGCTTGGCAGGGCTCCCCCTGCTGTCAGCTCACCCACCACACCTGCTGCCCAGCAGCCAGGTGTCAACTCGCACCCACCAACAGTTGCCTGCAGCCAGAGATGTTCCTCTATCACTGGGCATCGAATCCTCTTCCAACTTCTAACTCTCAAACGGCTGCAAAACTCGGGGCAGGACGCCAGGCTGACGCCAGGTGCCAGGAGCTTCATCCAAGGCTGCCACATGGGTGGCACGGGCCCAACTACCCCCACACACTACCTGGGGCCTCCCAGAGAGCGTAGCAGCAGGAAGCTGAACTTGGGAGAGGAGCTGGGCCCAAGCCCAGGTACTCCGATACGGGGTGGGGGTGTCCCAAGGGCTACCTCAACCACCAGCAGGATTGTAAGGTACAGTAAAACTAGAGAACCACTTAGGCAAAACAGAAACAACAAGAAAAATAAATGAGTACACTGAAGCACACGCCACCCTGCAAACACAGGGCAGGGGAGCTGAGGGCTGCAGTCCCGGCATCGATGGCACCCAGGGAGAACACACACAAACACCAGTGTCCCTGACGCCGCCCCGTGCAGAGGCCTGCACTCACCCGCCCGTCGCACGTGATCAGGGGGTTGTAGTAAACCCCAGCCCCGTAGTTATTCTGGATGGAGGAGACGACCCGGGGCCCCAGGGCTTTAAGGAACGAGTAGTGGCTCCAGTTCTTCTTCATGTTCTTCGCATGCCACGTCACAGGGTCATCCACCGTGAACACAAAGTCCAGCATGGCACTCTGCGAGGCAAAGGAGAGTGGGTTCAGCACTGGTTCCCAGACAGGCAGTCAGAGCAGAAAGTTCCAGAACACCTTGCTAGAGTGATGAATGCCAAGGTCTCGGGCCGTCATCAGAAATCGCTAAAAATGTCAGCGAGCCCCTGGCAGCAGCGTGAGCTCTGTTGGCATCAACACGGATGACGGGTCTTGCTGAGCCAGCGCCCTTTTCCCAGCACCACACAGGGGACGGCCAGCCTGGGGCAGGCGCTACGCTGGCTGCTTCACAGCAAAGGAAGCTGAGGCCCAGGTAAGAGCTCTCTGCCCCAGGGCAGAGCTGTGACTTCCGTGCCATCAGCTCAACCGCTAGCTGCACCGTCCCTCCAGACCAAAGCCACAGTGTACACGCTAAGTACTAGGACAGGGAAGTGTCATCCGGGCTGGCCCATTCACTCTCCACTCGTGAAGTACCTAGAATGGGGCAGAAACAAAGAGCTCAAAAGTCACCTGGGAGAATAAACTGTCATCCACTGGATGGGACAGAACACACAATGTATTAATTCTCCCGACAGAAGGGGTCTCCCCAGGAGAAATTTCCCTAGGCTGACAAATATGCATGAGAGGTAACCAGGGAGGGCGGGAATGCTGGAGGAGGCAGGGAGAAGGGGCGCGAGCTGTGTCAGAGGGAGCTGGACCTGTGGTCTCCAGAGCCGGGTCTGTTCCTGGACGCATCCTTTCATTTAGCCGTAACAGAGCTTAACTGCTGTGTGGGGGACGAGGCCAGAGAGGGAGGCCGTGGGCCACGCCAGAACATGTTCTTGCAGGAGAGGAGCCGATGGGTAGGAGGGACTGATGGGTAAGCGTGCTGGGGACAGGCAGCTGGTCCCTGCACGGCGCCAGGGAGGCAAAGCAAAGCAGCCTGGGCTGATGGGACACGCAGGTGTTGGAATCCACAAGCCTGGTGGACTTGCATGCAGGGAGAGGGGTGAGGGAAAGGCAGGGCAGGATCCTTTACGGGAGAATTCCAGCAAAGCTTTCGTGGAAAAATGAAGCGGTGGCTGCCAGCCCACCAGGAGGTTCCCACAGTGGCATCCCAAGCCACCAGGGAGGCCTGAGACTCAGTGGTGTGGGGAGCACAGATAATACACATTTTTAAAACGCACAACTGTTCATGTACATTAAACAACCAGCCATCATCACCTATCATTTCTCTTGTTGTCTATAACCTGCGATTTTTCATATCCTGACAAGTTAAAGAGAAGCAGTGCACATTAGTCAGCAGTACAGACGGGATGAAAGAAACCCAAGCAGCTGAATGGATGTCCTCACCCGGAAGTCAAGAGGCGACCATTAACCAAAAGACTCAGGCCAGGCCTGCAGAGCTGGGACCTTCCACTGCCTCGTGCATGCTAAATTCTGCAACCCCAAGGAAAACGTCCCCCTCGGTGGGGCTTGTGCTCAGCCAGCTGCGCAGGGCACGTGCTGGGCAGGGGGTGCCACAGGGTCACCCGCTCCGGTCCGCTGTTAGTGACTTCCAGCCCGAGGACCATAGGCGGAGACAACCGGGAATCAGAGGAGGGCTTTGAAATTGTGGAGGCCCGGGACCCATCCCTGCACCAGTGACATCAAGTGTCCCCAGAAATAGAACCCGCCTGCAAACTCTGCTCCTCAGCAGCAACCCCCAAATCCCAGTGTCGGGTTCACACTGAAAACAGAGTGCAGTCCTTGCCTGGGCCTCACGGCCTCTCGCGCTCTAGACCCACGTGGACGCCCGTGGGCAGCTCCCCGTGTCACTCGTGGTGTACTCTGGACACATCGGGGCTCTGAGGGCGGGATTGCGAGACGACGCTCAGGAGAGCCGGGAGACACCTGGCGTGCGTGGGGGGCTGCCCCGGGAGGGTCCCCGCCGCGCTCACCTTCTGATCTGAATTGGGCCCCGCCTGGCGGAACACCCCGGAGCCGTAGGCAAACGCCAGGCTCAGCTCCTCGGGGAAGTGAGACAGGATCTTGCGGAAGGCCACCCCGGAGCTCTGCAGCGCCTGCAGCGCCATGGGCGCGAGGCCTCCCCCGGGACGGCCGCGGGGCAGGGGACACCGGGCCGGGGCAGGACGTGGGGGAGCGGGCAGGGTGGGTCCGAAGGGGAGGAGGCTGAGCTGGGGCTGCAGTGGGGACTGGGACGCCGAGGACCGCACGGACTCGGAGAGCAAGCAGCACCGGGGAGGAGCACGGCCTCAGCCGGCGGGAGGATGTACACTCGCCTCAGCTCCGCCCCTCGCGCGCACACACGTCCGCCAGAGATGGCGCTCGGCGGCTCGCGGAGAGGCGAGGGCGTTGCAGCGACTCCTGGTGGTCGGAGGAGCGCGCTGCAGGCTGAGCCTGGGAGGGCAGGCTGCAGATGCACCGCTCATTTTAGCAAATGCTAGAAAGTGATGCATATGTAACTGCATAAAACTTGTCAATGAGGTGCAGACAGCCATCCTAAAGAGTACAATGCGGCGGCATTCAGAACATGCATCAGGTTGTGCAGCCATCGTCTCTGGTTTCACAACCACAAGCCCTCTCATGGCCGCCACCCCAAATGACCACTGTCCAGACTGCATGTGTTTTCTTCCCACTAAAGCTCTTTGGTAAATCCGTGAACGGACTTGAAGGTGCTTCCGCCCATACCAAAAGGCTTTGCGGAGGGATTGGAGGGGACAGGAACCGGGGAGGGCACAGAGCCCAAGTCGGCTGCCCGGCCTCCTGTAAGCCACAGGGTTGAAATTCACGTTTAGGTCCTGCTGAGAGCTTGTCCCGGGCTTTGTGCCTTGCTCCTTGCGTCCCTGTCAGTGCTCGGTGGCAGGAGGCTGCAGAGCGGCGTGTGGAGCCTGGTGCTGCAGAGCGGCAAGGTCAGGACCACGTCAGCCTGTGGCACGGCTGGAGCGCAGCTCTGGCTGCAGGTCTAGAGCTGTTTCTAGCATTCTCCACTCTGACGGGTGTCGCGTGGGCACCTGCTGGGGTCCAAGGCCGACTTGGATGGCGGTGGGGAGGGAAGCTTCACTGTTGCACCGTGAAGGGAAAAGCAGTTAGGCCTGGGAGGCAGCGGCAAGGCCCAGCAGGAGCTCAAGGTCTGTGAATGAGCATCCGGTGGGTGCCTGCTGCTGAGGGGCTGTAAAACACCCCCTCGGTGTGAGAGCAATAGCCAGTCCTGGGATGCAGAGGGGAACCGAAAGGGTTCTGAGTGCCTGGGGTTGCGTTCCAGCTCTAATCCAGCGTCCAGCCTCCTGCTGATGCACTGGCTGGGAGGCGGACACTTGGGTCATGTGGGGCGCCCATGTGGGAGATTTAGAGTGAGCTCCTGGCTCCTGGCTCGGGCTTGGAGCAGCCTTGTCTGTTGCAGGCATTTAGAGAGAGAAGCAGGAGTTGGAAGGTCTCACAGGCTTGCAAACAAAGCAGAGACTAACTACATTTTTTTAAAAAGATTTATTTTTATTATTTTTCATTGGAAAGGCGGATATACAGAGAGGAGAGACAGAGAGGAAGATCTTCCGTCCGATGATTCACTCCCCAAGTGAGCGCAACGGGCCGATACTGTGCCGATCCGAAGCCAGGAGCCTCTTCCAGGTCTCCCACGCGGGTGCAGGGTCCCAAAGCTTTGGGCCGTCCTCGACTGCTTTCCCAGGCCACAGGCAGGGAGCTGGAAGGGAAGCGGGGCTGCCGGGATTAGAACCGGCGCCCATATGGGATCCCGGGCGTGCAAGGCGAGGACCTTAACCACTGAGCCACCGCGCCGGGCCCTAACTACATTTTTTAAATTAAATTTTTGTATCCAAATTATCCTTCATCCCATTTTCCATGATTTTTTTTTGAAGTTTCCTCACAGGATCATATATTAAGTGCTTGTTGTGCTCAAACAGTTTTTGTATTTATTTCTCTTTCAAAGACTCAAGAAACAGAGGCCCAAAGAGGAGGGGCAAATTATTGGGAGTCACTTGGTTAGGGGAATGGTAGAAAAGGATTTGCAGGGGGGCAGGAGCAGTGGTATATCAGGCTAATCTTCCGCCTACAGTGCCAGCATCCCCTATAGGCATTGGTTCTAGTCCTGGTATTGCACTTTCGATCCAACTTCCTGCTAATGACTTGGGAAAGCAGCAGAGGATGCCCGGGGCCCTGGGACCCTGTGCCCACGTGGAAGACCTCAAAGAAGCTCCTGGCTTCCAGCTTTGGATCCGCTCAGCTCCAGTTGTTGTGGTCATCTGGGGAGTGAACCAACGAATGGAAGGCTTCTCTCTGTCAGCCCTTCTCTCTCTGTAAACTTTGTCTTTCAGATAAAAATAAAATAAATCTTAAAAAGAAAAATAAAAGAAGGATTTGCACTAGAGCTATCTAACTTCAAAAGTCGAGGTCATTGCCCCCATGTTTGAGCGCTTCCAAGATGACCTGAGAGGGAAGAGAAGGAACTGGGACTAGATTGGATCGGAGTCATCAGCCAAGACTGGGAGGCAGTGACAGCCAGGGGTGGCCAAGGGGGCAGAACAGGCAGCAGCAGATGGACACTGTGGGTCGCAGGGAGCTGCCCGGATGAGGCAGGTGCCTGGCGGGCAGGCCCTGGGCAGCCAGGCGCAGGAGGCTGGAAGAGGCCCTTCACCCGAAGGCAGTGCACAGAGCCCCTGAGCCGGTTCTTTTTCGTTGCCTCTCCCGAGGAAGTAATCCAACTTTGCTGGTTTTCTTTTCTGTGGAGCCATCCACGCTCACAGAGCGGTAAGCATTACAGAATATGAGTGTTGTCCTCCGGAGACAGCCATGGGTAATCTTTGATACATACTCCTACAGGCATTTTTCTATGAATGTTGAACAATTTAAATCAGAGCCACACAATACATACTATTTTGCTACTTGCCTTTTCCCCCACTTAATGTAACCAGAATGCGCATGGCATCTGATGTCCTTCTGTGTCTGAGATCTCTGACTCCACTTACTAGCAGCAAATTGTTCCGAGTGTGGAGAAGTCCTAACGGCTTGAAACGCTTCTGTATCTAAAGCTGTGGATGACTTCTACTTTCCGTGTGTGCAAACAATGCCACGGAGCATCCACGGACAAGGCTGGCTGTGGTTCCTAGCAGTGGGATGTCGGTATCAGAGTGTTAGCAGCACGGTGCTCGGTTCCCCTGCGGAAAGTCGGCCTCGCCACACATCCAGCCACAGGGTTGAGGCTTGGATAGAAGTAAGGATTCTGCAACATTGCTCCACTTTTCTTCCTTCTGGGCTTTCACGCCTAATTATCAGTAACTTGCTTTCTCTCAAACACATTTTCCTCTGAGAATGCTAACCCAGCAGCCGGAAAGTTCCATTACATTCCTGTGTGCATTTTGCCTTTCCCCAGAAAGAGGCAGAAGCAACACGGCAGAGAAGGCATTTGTATTCCTCAGCAGAAAGCTCCCAGCTCCTCTCGGTTCACCCGCTCGCTGGTGAATTACCGTGCCTTCTGAGTCAGAAGCTATTAAACAGCCTTGTGTTCCATTCGATTGCCCGAGAGTTCCGTTAGGAAGCTCATGCCAGTGGAATCCAAATGTTAGAGCACTGCTTAAAAAATACAGATGCACACTCCTGGATCTAGGCGAAGGTTGGGCCTTCCGACTTCCCTCTCCGTCCTCTCTTATTAACAAGGGCCTTGGAGGATGGGGTTCCCCAGGAGAAGGGTCCTCCTTGTCTGTTTGCTAAAAAGGTCTGGAAGTGTTATGCCCTAACTTCTCATCAGTGTTTAAGTAACAGAAAAATGGGAAGGAATCCAACCTCAGTGCTTCTTACACTTGATGCATCTGTAGTTGGAGAAGAAAGGTCTTGTCAGCGGAGGGTCACCCTGTCACATGAGTCTGTCCTCAGATGACTGATGGCTCACACCTGGGACAGACTGAGAACATCCGACTGTTGGGTTTGTAATCAGATGCCAGGATTTAATAGCTGTGTGACCTTGGGTTAGACAACTTCACCTCTCCATGTCTCCTTTTCCTCATTGAAAGAAGTATTTGCAAGGCAGAATGACAGGGAGGGAGCGGAATACTCAGCGATAGCTTTTCCTCCGCTGGTTCATTTCCCAAGTGGTGACACAGCCAGGGCTGAGCCAGGCTGAAGCCAGGAGCCTGGAACTTCAGCTGGGTCTCCCATGTGGGTGGCAGGGTCCCAGGATCTTGGGCCATACTCTGCTGCTTCCAGGAGTGTTAGCAGGGAGCTAGAGTGGAAGTGGAGCAGCCGGACTGGAACCTACGCTGGAATGGGATGCAGCTTAACCCACTCTGACACAGTGCCGGCCACTCTTTGTCTCTTTTGCCGCTCATCTGTAAAGTGGGAGAGTAATAACACTTGACTTGTAGGAATGCTATAGCAAATAAATTCCAGAAAATAAATAGCCTGGTGCCCATGATAGAACAACCCCTCAGTCATGGTCTCTGTCTCACTGAATTCTCGAGAGACGAAGCACAGGTGCAATTAAGGACCATAGTCACATCTGGGATCTTCATGTCATTCAGCGTCACACAAAATCACCTTTCCAGACCTGGTTTTATCCTCAAAACAAACTCTGGTAATTGAGGGCTTATATTTCCAGTTTTACAGGTAGAGACACTGAACTCAGAGAAATGAATGGATCTGCCTGAACACACAGTTAAGGGCAGTTGCTGTCAGCCCAGTCCCCACGGCCAGTCCTTTCCCTCTTACACCATAAAAATGATACACGTCACTCACATCCCCAGGGGATTCAGTCCTTCATTTCTCCTATTGAACTCCCCCCGCTTCAGTCCCAGCTCAGATGGCCGCTTGCCCCATCCTCTGTGTCTCCATAAAAAAAAAAAAAAAGAGCGGTTAGAAAAGGCTCAGGAAGTGTCCCAGGTCAGGCAGCTCAGTCAAGGTTCGAACCCTCGGGGCTTAGTGCAGCACCCAAAACAGAGGGTCTGGTGATAAAAAACAACACGTATGCACAGCAAACACAACTTGGCGCTAAGACAAGCTGTACACACCAACTGCGACAAAACTGCGGGTTCCGGTGGGGGCAGGGGTGACATGTGGGCCGCTGAGCAATGTCCTAAAGCAGTTTGCTAGGTACTCAGGAGCAGTGAACAAAGGCGAGAGAGCAAGCCAGCCTGTGCAGGGGGGCGGAGATCCTCCTGGGGGAGGGGAATGCTGTGTTTCCCAGGGGAGTTCTGGAAAAACCACAGACTCTCACGATGCCATCA